TGGAGAATGGGTTTCTTATATAGTGTTGACACATCTAGGGTTACACCATGTAAACCCTAATGTGTCATGACTCTTCATTTCCATGACCCATGGGTTTGTAACTCCCATGGAGCATCCATGGAGCATCCTATGGGTGGAACCCAACTTGATAATCCATGGAGCCTCTTAGCCCACTATATAAGATATGGACGATTTACATAATCTACCCATATATTTAATTAGTTATCTTTTGATCACTTAATTAATTCTAAATGAATTCTTGATCAAACTAATTAAATAATATTATTAATATATTAGAACTTATAATATATTAATAAACCATAAGTGTTATTTCTCTCATTTTAGTTTATCCAATTGCATGGTGCCATGCAACCCAAATGGACCATGTCGGGTCGGGTCAAGTACATACCAGAAATAGTTATGGACTTAGACACCTTATCCAACACTATTAGCTTAAGTTGTAATCCAATTATTAATTAAATGATTATTTTTATGTGATAGCGCGGGGATTTTAATGAGCCAGCATCCGGAGACTTTCAGTGTGATTCAGCAGTGTGAGGTGAGTTTTCCTCATTGTACTTATGGGTCGAAGGCCCCACGGCTGGCCCTTTGGACTGTTATCCTTATTACCGTATGATTGAGTACTGTAGTGATCTGTTAGATCTGTATCCTGGTAGATAAGATGATGATATGCTTAGTGATCTGTAAGATATGTCTGCTTGTTAGTGGCTGGTTAATTTTATGATTATATGTTATATATATGTATCAACACAGTGTATGTGTGGTTGGGTTGAGGCGGTCCTGCTTTGTGCTGAAGGCCAACAGACCCAGGGCGTCCCGGATAGACTGAAGGCCAGTGGAGCGTACCAGTCAGGCCGAAGGCCCGGTGTGGCATGCCAGTCATGTTGTAGGTTCTGTGAGCGTACCAGGTAGACTGTAGGCCGGTGGGGCGTTCCTGTCAGACTGAAGGCTCTGTATGCATGTTTTTTATTATTATTATTCAGGTTTCGTGTTGTGTTGGTATGTTAGGGGAACTCACTAGGCTTTGGGCTTACAGTTTTGGTTATGTTTTCAGGTACCTTAGATGATCGCGGGAAGGAAAATGCATGATCATGCACCTCCTCGTGTTTTGTTTTATGATTTTGGGAAAACTCTAATAATAAACATGATTTGAAAACTATTTTGTAAACAATGATGGTTTGTGGGATTGTTTAAAAAGCTTGAATTTTTCATGAATTTTATGGATGTTACAACCAACTTCCTAGATTCTTCGTGACTCTCCTCGAGCGAGTATGCATCTTGTGCTTTCAGTAGTACGTGCCTAATACTACCTTCCACACCTATCCAAACTTTTCTCAAGAATCATCTCGAATCATCCAAGTCACCTTCTCAAACTGATACTCCAAATACTCGCTAAGCAGTGCAACCAACCCATTAAAGCACTTCCTAGGCTTTCCTAGGTTCCCAACCTCACCCTTCCATCAGCTGTTGAAGAACTCCCACAAATGTCAGCTAACTACCTCATGAATATAATCACATGCCATAAATCTTAGATAATCCTTCGAGTAACAGACTCATCCCTATAATAGTTGGATTCAGACAAGAGTTACGCAATAGGGTCAAATCAATCACTCTGAGATTATTTAACCTTTGCAACATGTGACTTAACATATTCACTTAATATTTAATTCACATCATTAATAATTCCACAAAGCACGAAGCAAGCAGCATTCGAGCAATAACGCTTCAAACCACAAGCCAACCAGAGGACATCTCAAGCTCACTTACTACCAACAAAGATTTCAAATCTAATATGTCATTTAATTCCTCTTAGGCTATAAGGCATCACATATCAGGCCAATCCATATAATCATTTAAAATCCATACTAGCATGCAACTCAAAAGCTCAACCAATCAGGCATAGAAAGGCATCTCTCCTAGCATAAAATCCTGAGTAAAACCTTAACCCTAATCTAGCATGCAAAACTCATATCATATAACATAACAAACATGTATGGGTATTCTGGGAATCATTTACTTGAGCTTGGCTGATTGCACGCACCACCCCTTTCTTTTATTATAAAATCCTTTATTTTATGAAAAATCTACCAAACCCTCATTTGAGTTCAGACACACCCGAGAGTATGCCCGAATTTCTCAAACCAAGGCTCTGATACAACCTTGTAACATCCCACAAATTATGAGGTCAAAATTTCATTTTAAATTCAACCAAAAACACCATTTAATCATTTCAATCATTCAAAAGTATATCAGAGTAAAATAGTTATCAGTATATCAGAGTAAAATAGTTATAGAGTACAACTCCAAAAATCATAAAGTGTGAAAACATGGGTGGATGCGCTACGATCAAGCCGGTCTCTTCCCTTGCGAAACGGGAGTACCTGGAAAACGTTTTAAACATAAACCATAGACACGAAGCTTAGTGAGTTCCCCAAAATATCGCATACCATAAATATATGCCAGCTCAAGGCCGTGACGGGTCTATTTCACCTCCGAGTCTATTTCACCCCCGAGTCTATTTCAACTCATGTGTCGGCCCAAAACCGTACCAGGTCTATTTCACCCCCGGGTCTATTTCACCCCGAGTCTATTTCAACTCATATGTCAGCACAAAGTTGTACCGGGTCTATTTCACCCCACATACATATAGCAAACAGGCACACAGACATATAACACATACAACAAAAGTCACAAAGACTACAAGCACATAACATATCCTAGTGTCCTACAGTATAGTGAGCAAACTCACCTCAGTCTGCTAACAGTCAAACAAATGATCGGGCTGCTGAACCGGAAAATCCCCGCGCTAGTCAATCACATAAAGATCCAAATTAAAAATCAGGCCATAAACCTTAACTAGGAATCTAGTTCACTTGTCCAATTCCCAGGGTGAAAGACCATTTTACCCTTTCCTTACTTGGCCCAAAACCAAAGGCCCAACCCAATGGCTCCAAAAGCCTAATACGACCCATATCCCTAAATGACACCCAAAGCCCATTATGGGCCCAAATCCAGGAAGGCCTAAAGCCTAACAATGGCCCAAAGTCAGCAAGACTTGTGGCCAGTACACCCGAGGTACTCAGACTTACGCCCATCGTACGCCATCTATGGCCAATACGCTCGGCGTACAAGCTGGGTACGCCTAGTGTACTCCACAGCCAACCCATATCACCATTAAGTGTTTAATCAGTTAAGTCACTATGTCCAATTCTCAGATCTGATCCTAAATGATGTCTTAACACGTAAAGTTGGAAACTTTACTCCTTTGCATGACTTAATGGGACCCGATACTCAATAAAATCCATAATAAGAACCCTAACTCATGCATGGTCCACTATAACTCATCAAGATTGCATTTTTATGAACAAGGGACCTCAAAAATGCTAAGATCTATCATCCTTATCTTCAGGAGTAGCTCATACTCTCATGCAAGACTTAAAGGACCATAAAAAGCACAAAAACAAGCCCTAACTACATCTAACAAAAATGAACCATCAAGTTCAGACCTTTATACCTCAAATAGCTTTCCAAGTTGATGATGATTCTGGATCCACAAGCTCTAGCCACACCAATGAAAATTCCAAGGGTTCCTCTTCCTTTAAAATCACCAAAAACACCCTTAAAGTTCACTTCTAAGCTCAAAACACTCAAATGGAAATTAGGGTTTCATTCTTAGGGTTTGGAGAAGTGGAGGTTGGTCATAAGAGAGTCTAGAAGCAACTTAAGGTGTTTAAATAGGGTACAACCCCTAAAAATTAGAGTTTGCCCCAGCCAACCTACGCCCTGCGTACTCCCACGTACAAGGGCGCCTTTGTGACCAAACCAACGAGCCAGTACGGCCAACGTACTCAGCTTAGCCCAAAATCCTCGTAACTTCAAACGGTCATAACTTCTTCGTTCCAACTCCGATTTCGACGTTCTTTAAATCCACGGAAAGGTAATGAGAAGCTCTACAATCCTATCAACTCTCCTTTTCCTTGAAACTTTCCGAACTTAAATCCAAAATTCAAGAAAAGCTCATACCATCACTTTACCATTATACCATTGGGCTCCAAAACACAAACTGAACACTTGGTACCCACAACGTGCATTATTCACCACGAAATGGGTCTAAACCTCTCATTCCCAAGGTCTGAAGCTTTATATTACTTGATCCTCAGGTCACGACCTCGAATTATGAAACAACCCGAGATAGGGTGTTACATTATGACTCTATTTTAATGTTATTGAAACAATTGGATTTACTCTTTGAGAATGAAATTGATATGGTTTCCTAGTTTTAAAAATAATTTTTAAAAAAAAATAGGTTTGAAACTTTGGATGTTACATCTGTTGTCCTCATCAATCCATCATCCTCGTCCCTTGCAAGCCACCCCCGTCCTCTGCAAGTCACCGCCTTCCTCTGTAAGCTATCTTCCTCCTCGCTTGCAAGCCATCATTCTCCTCCTCAAGTGTCTTGAGGCGAGTTGACTTGACATGTTTAGCTTGTGAGATTTATCATTTTTTTAATTGATGGTGTTCTAATATATTTTTTATGTATATTTAAATTTATTAACGATGGTACGGTACTATTAGTTAAATATAAACATAAACTAAAAACTATATTATTATTTTTTTCATATGTATTCTATAATAGAAACGATTTGATTATATGATTTTAGTAGATGACTATTTTATCATATATTTTCTAAATGATTATAATATTTTATATTAAATTGATATAAAAATTATTATATATATGAGAGAGAGAGAGAGGGGTATTGAATAAGGCAAATATATTTTAAATATTTCAACATAATCAAATAATCAAATAAGTAACTGGTTTTTTAATTTCATATAATGTATATTTTTTAAAATACTATATTTCTGTTAGGTAGAGAATTGATATTTAAAGTAAAATTTAGTTAATATCTTTTGTGTGAAATTCGCATGGTATTTAAGCATCATTACATAAAAAAAGTTCATAGTTATCAGTATCCATGGTGGCATTCCCACACACTGGCTGGCGAAAGCCGGCGATTCGCATTTTTGACCGGCCTTCCGTCTTCCTCGCCGGAGCTGTCTCATCACTGTTGCTTCTCTGGGCCTTCTTTTTCTTCTCAGCTCTTGATTCCATCGCCATTTTCTCTCAATCCAAACCCAATTCCTGCAACTGTAACCAACACGACCCCGCCTTCAACCTCCAGTTCGACCCACCTATCGCCACCTTCTACGATGACCCAAGTTTCGGCTACACCATCGACAAACCCATAACAAATTGGGACCGAAAAAGGCGAACATGGCTCCAACTCCACCCCTCTTTTGAGCCCAGGTCACAGGAGCGAGTCTTTATCGTGACTGGGTCACGATCTACGCCATGCAAAAGCCCCACCGGAGACCATTTCTTGTTGAGATTTTACAGGAACAAAGTCGATTACTGTCGAATCCATGGCTACGATATCTTTTACAACAATGTGTTACTCGACCCCAATATGCACTCCTGCTGGGCAAAGATTCCGGCGGTTCGGGCGGCGATGGTTGCTCATCCGGAAGCCGAATGGATCTGGTGGCTCGATGAAGATGCTGTGTTCACCGACATGGAATACAAGCTTCCGTTACATCGGTACAAAGATTATAACTTCGTCGTCCATGGATGGCCGAAAGAGGTTTACCAGAAGAAAAGCTGGTTAGGGTTGAACGCAGGATCGTTTCTGATCAGAAATTGTCAATGGTCACTCGATTTCTTGGATTCATGGGCCGACATGGGACCCCAATCTCCTAATTTTGATAAATGGGCTGGAATTTTGATGGATGTGTTCAAGCATGAATCCGATGACCAGACAGCGATGGCGTACTTGCTCCTGAAGGAACACCAACAATGGTATGGAAAGAAGATGCTGATCGAGACTGGATATTATCTCGAAGGGTACTGGGTTCTGATTGTCGATACATTGAAGAACATAACAGAGAGGTATCTGGAGATTGAAACGACGGCGGCGATGTTACGACGGCGACACGCGGAGAAGGTGAGTGAGCGGTACGGTGTGTTACGAGAGCCGTCGTTGAAAGACGCCGGGAATGAGTTTGGGAGCTGGAGGCGGCCGTTTGTGACTCATTTCGCCGGGTGTCAGCCGTGTAATGGGAAACATAACCCGTTGTTCACCGGAGCAAGTTGTCGGAAATCCATGAACATGGCTTTGAACTTTGCTGATAACCAGGTGCTCCGAAATTACGGGTTTGTTCACCGGAATTTATCAGATCCTTCGGTGGTTTCGCCGCTGCCATTTGATTATCCTGCTTGAATAGAATAGAAATTCTGATGTTCTAGTTTTATTTCCCCTGTTTTGGACATATTTTGGAGCTAATTTTAGTAAAAAAATAAAAGCTTCATTTGTTGTTTGATACATCGAACATTTAGTTACATATAATCATTCAATCTTTTTCGATTATATTTTGAAGTGATACTTGAGAATTTTCAAGTTTCTTGAAATACTCAAATGTTATCATATACCAAAGATCTAATTATTTTCAATTTGATAGCAAAAATATGTTTAAAAAAACTCAAGCAAATCATCATCCTAACGGTTTTCTTTCTATGAATGACCGTTTGGGTGGTCCATACTCCAACTGTGGCCATGGTAACAAATCCAAGATTGTGATTTAAATTGGTTATGATGTAAAAAAAAAAAAAGCCTTTTCATTTTATTAATAATATTCCACATCATGTTTTTGAGTAGGATGTGATATATACTTTCCTTGTGAAGCTCAACTCAAGCATGTTTCAGGTGTTTGAGTAATTTTTTTTTTAGCCAAACTCATGTGTAAATTCTTTAGAAATTTAATTAAGGTATTGTTTGTGTTACTGATATTTGTAATACTTTATATATTTATTTTTATATATTTATGTTGCTATTGTGTTTTTTGTTCTCACTCCCCTAAAATCATGTGTATCGATAGTAAATTGCAACCGGTAGTCAATATAATGGACATTAAAAAAAAAATACAAGATTACATACAATCCAAGTAAAAAGAGGTTGGGTGGCAATAAAAAAGCATAACCTAGATCGGACACGTTTCATAGATGGATATGTTTTTTTTTTCCTTTTTAAATAACTATTTTATAGATAATATATTTATTAAAAAAATTATAAAAAAGTATATCAAAATTTATTGGTTCTTATAAATAAAATATAATATTAATATATTTATTGTATATATATCTGAAACTTTCATGTATAATATAATTTTAGTTTTTAGGTTCATAAATGGTAAAAAAAATTGAGATCGGTTGGTAGTATTAATTGTGTAAGTAGATTAGAAGAAAATTAATATTTTAGTAATCGTTACTAAACATGGTATGGTAAATGAGGTTTAACAAATATATTTATTTAATTCAAAATAAACAAAACGGTCAAAAAGATATATAATGTAATGAATCATATTTATTCTTAATTGAATATCTATAAATTCCACATTATTAGGAACAGATGAAATTTTTTTATGAATTACAACTAAGAACTGACATTATTTGTCCTATAAATATGATTAAAAAACAAATAAATAATATTAAAATAGTTGTAACTAGTTTTTGACAAACATAATTTAATAGTATAATTTAGGGTTATTTTTAACTTCTTAATTGATTTTTTAAGAGAGATCACACAAATAATCCAAACTATATCTTTCTCTCAGCTTTACTACCAAACGCATTCTCTGGAAAGAAAGTCAAAGGTTGAAAGCCTCAAAGGTCGTGCAAAGGATGTATTCATGTGAAGTTCTGAATTTCCCACGATCCAAACCGCTAGATCCAGATCTCAACCATTTTCAAATTCATTTTTTATTTAAAGAAATATTCTATAAGTAATTTACTATTTTATTTCAATTCCGATTGTTCGATATTTAAGATTTTCATTTACTTTCCCAAATTTACTTATACGGGAACGGATCGTATATTGTCTTAGTTGTGTAGGACCACTTTTAATCGACTTAAAGCGGGAGTTTTCTTATCAACAAGAAACGTAAAAACAAATCACATCTGTCCATTTCATTTGATAAAATGGTTTTACATTAACGTGATTAGTGCCGAAAATGCAAAAAACAATGATCTAGTTGCGCATTCCATTCCGCCGACAGTCAATTGGTTTACCCTATTTTCTTATTTTTGCAATTACAGTGTTTAGTTTCATCTCTAAATTTTGTAAAAATTAATGAGAAAAAATAATAAACTGTACATAGGGTGCCCAATACCAGAGCAGCCAACTTCAACTAGGTTTTGAGAAATTTCAGCTTTTGGTTTTTAATCTAGTTACATCATAAAAATGTGAAAGTTATTTTTGTCGAGTATTTCTATACAAACAAAGTTACAACAATCGGCTACCAACTCGTTTTTGTTAAACGCATCCATAATCTTATTATCACTAAATATAGAATAGACAAAATTGCAGAAATGGTCCATGTGATTTGTCGATTTATTTGGGTAAGGTCCAAAAAAACGTTTATTAGCAAAAAACTGTCATTATTTAGTGGTTTAGTTGTGGTTTTGGTCCGTTAATTTTAACACTTGGTTGTTAACTTTTTTAGTTGTTTAGTTGTGGTTTTGGTCCGTTAATTTTACCCTCAGATACCATTTTTGTAATTGTCTCTTTTTACCGAATTACAATGACCGTTTCTACAACTCTTCTTTTTAATTTTATTGAATTATTATATATTAATTCTTCTTCTTTTTTATTTTATTAAATTATTATAAATTAATTTTTTTTAATTTCATTTTTATTGGATTATTTTTTATTTGATTAGTATATATTAATTAATTTTATTTTGAATATATAATATTTATATATTAATAAATATTTCATTGTTATATTATTAATTTTTGTTAAGTAATTATTTTTTATTTTTTATTGGATTATTTTTTTTAATTTCTATTTTATTAAATTAATTATTTTTATTGGATTATTACATTTAATTTATTATTTTTTATATATAATAAATATTATTTTATTGGACTATTAATTTATTTTTAATATATAATATTAATTCTTTGTAATTTTATTGGTTCTACCACAAAGTCGTCGGAATATGCAAAAACATCGCATCCAATCGTCGAGAATCGTCGGGACCACCGCCAATCACCTTCATTGGAGGTCCGACGGAAACATTACCAACCTATTTTACCCAACGCCGCCGGCCAGTAGCCACATGCGACAAGTTCTTTACAATCCGTCAGAATCATTTATATTTGTCACTAAGTCGATCATTTTCCACTAGAACCATCACTGTTCGAACCACCGGGAGGTCTAACCCAAACACCCCCGATCAGTTCCTCCATTCGTTGCCTTTTACTAGCTTGCGTCATTGCATCATACTACCTGGTCAGTTCCTCCATTTATTGTCTTACACAACGCATGCACAACCTTATAACATCGAAGCATCGAACCTGCACTACCTGAAAAGATCTAGAGGTGGATCTGATGGTTTGAAACCCCTAGATCTAACATTGTCACCATTGACGGTGGTGTCAATAATGAATAGCCGACTGGAGCATGTTTCTAATGCTTTAAAAATCGATTTGAATCGTTTGGTCAAACCGGTTGGACCGGGAACTAAGGAAATGAGTGACTCAACTATCACCGGTTTTATGTCTATTTCTGAACTGGTCGGTTTTTACAAAAACCCGGTTCAACCGGTTAAATTAAATAAAAACACATGGAAAAAACCATTTTGCATAATAAACTTTGGTGGTATTTTTCACATATATTTAGATTTCTCTAAATAAAAAACATATAGTAAATATTATGAAGTTTTTGATTGCACATTGTGTGGATAGTTGATTGGTGTAGTTTTGGTCGAGAATGACTGATTATTGGCAACGATCGTCGATTTTTGGCAAGATAATGCGGCAATGCAAGGTGATAGATAGCAACAAAGTGGTAGAGGTGTTTGGATCGGACCTCCTGGTGGTTCAAATAATGGTGGTTGTAATGGAAAACAGTTGACTCTATAAGATTCTGATGGAATGTGAAGAGGTTGCCACCGGTGGTTACTGGCAACGGTGGGTGGAACAGACAGGTAGTGTTTCCGTCGGACCTTCAATGAAGGTGATTGGCGGTGGCCCTGACAATTTTCAATGATGGGATGCGGTGCTTTTGCGTATTTCGACGACTTTGTGGTTGAACCAAAAAAATTAAAAAAATTTAATATTACGCATGAAAAATAAATTAATAAGCCAATAAAAAATAATTAATCTAATAAAAAAGAAAATAAAAAATAATCATAAAAGAAATTAATAATATAAAAATGTAATATTTATTAAAATATAAATATTATAAATTAAAAATAAAATAAAATAATAAATAATAATCAAATGAAAAAATTAATCCAATAAAAATGAAATTAAAAAAATTTAATGTATTATAATTCAATTAAATTAAAAATTAAAAAGAAAAAGAATTAATGTATAATAATTCAATAAAATAAAAAGAAAGAATTAAAAAAATAGTCATTATAGTTTGGTAAAAAAAGACAACTGCAGAAATAATACATAAGGATAAAATTGTCATTTTAAAAAAATTAACAGTCAAATGTTAAAAGTTAACGAAATAGAAACCAAAATCGCAAATAAACCACCAAATAAATACCTTTTTGCTAATAAACTATTTTTTAGACCTTATGCAAAGAAATTACCAAAAGAAATTACCAAAACCACAAGGACCATTTCTGCAGTTAATTATTTGAAAATTTACAATTTCTTTGTGAAAAAACCAAAAAGAAACCGAAACCCAACCTCAAAAACCTAGACCCAAACCGCTGCAAGACCAAACTGGTCTAGACAGGTGAACTAATTATAGGGCCCAAACCTATTTAGTCAGACCTAGCACAAGCCCGAAACCATTTTCAGGCCCAAACCCTGTGCATGATTGTAATACAAAAAATTCTCAAGAGTTTTTATTCAAACAGGTCTATTTGGTCACATACGATCCAAATCACAAACTCAAAACATCCTTAACAACAAAAACCATCCGATTTTCCAACAAAAGTAACTTCCTAACCAACAACCACGACCATTACTTAACAATACAGATCTTGATAACAGAAGCAGCACCAATCCGATGAAGCGCCACCACCGCATCACCCTTCTTACACAACCCTTTAGCACTCGCCGACTTCAAAGCCGCCTCCAAAATCACCTCGGTCGACTCCGCATCAGTCGCCTTAGCGGACCCCTCAGCCAAAAGCGGGATCAACCCCCGGTAAACCAAACTATGCCTAGCTGGCGTCTCATCGCTACACGTCCAATCAAACG